TCCTTTACCCAAGCAGGACAACCTAAACATGTTACAATTGCATTCAGCACAAAGAGAGATAAAAAAACGGTAGGCCAACTGATACTCTGAAAGGAAAAATCAAAATAGCATGAAAACAAACGCCAGAGTTCGACAAAAAGATGGTACATACCCCAAGCAACCGTGCACTCCTCGCTAGTAGCACTGGCCTGATTAGCTTGACACTCGATGCCTAATAATGCACACCGCAAATCTCACTCAGCGATAAATTACCAGATAATTGAGCATCAATAGACCCAAAAAAAAAAGAACTATATAATCAGAGGTATAAAGAATCAATAGAGCGGAAAACATGAAATACTCACAGAGATCCATAATATGATTCCTGCAAATTGCACAGTTATCCACCACGATATCTGAATTCAACCACAAGATGAATAAATAAACAATCGAGAAAATTGCGCCAAAATACCAACAAATTAAAAAAAACACAGAGATCGCAGAATCGCTTCAAATTAAAAAATATACAGAAAAAAAAGGAGTTCATGCTAGGTTAGGGTTAGGGTTTTACCCCAAGCCCAAAGAGCGACAGCGTTCCACTTCTTGATCTCGAATCGCTTGGCTTTCTTACCAGAAGTTGAGGTGGACGCTGTGGAGGATGAAGGTCCGGCTCCGCTGGAGCCTTCTCCAGCCGGAACCATGGTGACGTCGGTGTCAAGAGATGCCATTGGGTTGGCTCGAAGAGATCTCTCTTCTAAGCTCTTTTAGAGCACAGGTTCACACTTCAAACTGCGCGTGAATTGGATAAACACCTTAAAGACCAGGGAAGCTAATGGAATTTTGGCCTTAAACCATTCAGTCAACTCCGGTGTCGTCGATGGGCCTTGGCCCGTTAATTAGATGGCCCAAGGTTGAAGTCATTGTGTCGACATAATATGTCGACATTTCTAATTTTCCATACCAAGAATGTCAACACAATTACTTTTGACTCTTTTGACGTACGATTTACTTATATACTTGACCTTTTTTTTTGTTTTTTTGGTCAACATAGGGGTGTCCGGGTCAATTCTTACGGGTCCCGACTAATCCCCTGTGACCCAGGAGAGGAGACCCCACTCCACACCGAGCACGTTAATAACGGGACTCGAATTTTGGATAAACCAGGAAGGTCGCCATACTCTAAGGAGGGGGAGCAGACCGCTCAAGCTATTCCGTGGAGACAGAAGACCAGCCATGTAAGGTGACAAGTTTTTTTGTGGGAAGCAGCGGTTGAATCCCTGACCTCCAGCATCACTCAATAGAATGATGACCACTGGAAGCTAATGGAATTTTGGCCTTAAACCATTCAGTCAACTCCGGTGTCGTCGATGGGCCTTGGCCCGTTAATTAGATGGCCCAAGGTTGAAGTCATTGTGTCGACATAATATGTCGACATTTCTAATTTTCCATACCAAGAATGTCAACACAATTACTTTTGACTCTTTTGACGTACGATTTACTTATATACTTGACCTTTTTTTTTGTTTTTTTGGTCAACATAGGGGTGTCCGGGTCAATTCTTACGGGTCCCGACTAATCCCCTGTGACCCAGGAGAGGAGACCCCACTCCACACCGAGCACGTTAATAACGGGACTCGAATTTTGGATAAACCAGGAAGGTCGCCATACTCTAAGGAGGGGGAGCAGACCGCTCAAGCTATTCCGTGGAGACAGAAGACCAGCCATGTAAGGTGACAAGTTTTTTTGTGGGAAGCAGCGGTTGAATCCCTGACCTCCAGCATCACTCAATAGAATGATGACCACTGGACTAGGGCTGCAAACGAGCCGAGCCGAGTCGAGTCGAGTTTTGACCTTATCGAGTCGAGCCTTGACTTAATTTCATCGAACTCGAACTCGAGCTCGAGCTCGACGAACTGGTAATTTTCAAACTCGAGTTCGAGCTCGAAAAAAATAAAAAATAATTATTTTATTTTTAAAAAAATAAATAAAATAATATTTTTTCTTAGTAAATAATAAAATATTAAAGATATTTATGTAATTTTACTATTAAAAATAAAAACAAAAAAATAAAAATATATATACTCGAGTTCGCGAGCCGGCTCGCGAGCTAACGAGTTTAATGTTTTGAGCTCGAGCTCGAGTTCGACTCTGACTCGACCAGCTCGAGCACGAGTCGAGCTTGAATTGAGCTGCTCGCGAGCGGCTCGATTCGTTTGCACCCTACTGGACCAAATGGCCAGTGGCAATTTACTTATACTTGACGTTGGGTGCTATTTCCGCACGATTTACCTTCATACTTTAGGTTGGGCTGCTACCGTGATGCAGGGCGTTACAAATTCCACAAGCAAGGCAACAATTGCCATGGATAGTATGGGCATTTTCTCAACTGGTTTTACAATTTACCTTCATACTTTATGTTGGGCTGATACCGTGATTCAGGGCGTCACAAATTCCACGACCAAGGCAACAATTGCCTTGGAGAGTATGGGCTTTTTCTCAACTGGTTTTACATACCTGATTTAAGCTTTTGATTTTTGAAAAGTTATTTTATTATGTTCTCAACTGATTTTAGATTTGTTTTGGCTCTAAAGACCTAATTTTAGATTTTGATTTTCGAAAAATTTATTGTATTATGTTCTCAACTGATTTTAGATTTTTTTTGGTATAAAAAAGTTGGAAATCAGAAACAGGTTGTGAGATACTTTTGGATTCTAGCCTACTTTATCATGTAGACAAAATTACCTTTCAAATTTTAATGTAATTTCCAAACTTTAACGTAAGTACCTAAAGATTAGATAACTTTTTATGGTCTTTCTATTTTCATTCTTTTCTCATTCAATTACAAATTCATCTTTGTGTCCATTGTTTTTCTCATCCATCATTTAATCTTCATAAAAAAAATTATTTAATTACATTAAAAATTATTTAATTAGCACAAAATTTATTTGCATAGCATGTAAGTGTAATATGGTCATTTTTTAAAATAAAAGTTAGCTTTTTAACTTTTCTTTTGAGAACATCTATGCATTTATTAAAATGGTTTTTAACTGTAAATGGAGACACATGAATTATTTTGAAATATCTAATTTTTATAAATCAAGTTTACAAAATCAACTTTTACAAAATTAGAATAAGTTGAGAGCAAACCCCATATTATATACATGAACATAACATGTAGACACCAAACATAAGTGTAGATACAAATACAATGACAAGTAAACAATTTTGCATTTACATTATAAGTAAAAAATTGTATTTGAAAATCGATTTCAAAACCAAACCAATCCCCACCATTATTAATTGCACCGTACAAGTCACTAGTGATTGTAACGTCCTTTGATTAGGTTGTGCCTTTATTACTAATGATGTGATTGATAACTCAATTCATCACTTAATACTATTAATTAATTCAGACATTAACTATATCATAAAAGAGACCAAATTTTGGGTCAGCAATTGCATGTAAAATATCCCCTTCGAGCCAGCAATTGCCTGGACAGACAGTGGAGTTTAGTGGATCCCCCCTTAAGTTGGTTGATTTTCAAGCATTGTTGGAAAAAAAAAATTGCATGTAAAATATGATAATTGGTCTTGGTCCTCAAGGCAAATACATACGGTATTTAGATCAGTCGTTGCATATAAAATATGAAAAGCAGGACGTTGGAAATAGAAAATTTTGATGGTATGGTCTGACTTTACGTGCCATATTAGTTGATGTGAGAAAATTGCGGTGTAGACCTCGATCCAGATTACACTTCTTAGTTTTCTGGTTTTATTGAACTTAAATTAGTGCTTACATTTTGTTGTCACGATAGAGGACATCATTGATTTTTTTTTTTTTTTTAAATAAAGTATTTGTATTAAACCTTTCCTAACCATCAACCCTACCAAATTGGTCTGAACCATTATAGATATTTCTGTCTCTCTCTCTCTCTCCCTTTTTTTTTTTTTTTTTTTTTGGACTCTGGCCATTTTAGAATAATTTAGATACTTGATAGAAAAGGGAGACTGCAAAATACAGAGTAATAAGGTAAAATTTGAAGTGAAAACGAACCTCCTAGTTTCTACGTATCAATTATTTGATCAAAGACATCAAACAAAAGGAGAAGAAAAAAAAAAAGAAACCCCCCTTGCATTTTTGGCTGGCTGGCTGGCTGCCAGTGGGAATTCTAAATCAAAGCTTCTAGATTGCTAGCAACAGTTTAAATATCGCTAGCTGTATCTTTCACTCGACATCTCCTCCATTTGTTATCTATCCAGCTAATTAGGAATCTCTTTTGACTTGGGCAAGTAAAGACAACTAATTAAGAACTCAGAAACAGGGGATTTTGTCGAATTTTCTTGTGTCATTCATTACACTACTACTATTTGTTAGGAAGCGGGTGAAATAGTCTTTTAAGAGGCAGCTTCCTCCGGTTGTTATGTTGAAGTGCAGTTGTTAAGAATGAAACGACCAGAATTTCAAAGATATTAGGAGATGAGTGGTTGGTGAAGCAACTTGCTGATGATCCAGAACAGCACATCTCTGCTAAATGTCAAACCCCATTACCAATTCCTCCATGGGACCCGACCCAAAAAGAAAAATCCCAGTGCCAGTTCCTAGAAGGAACAATCCAGCATAAGCAACTTAATGATGTGTAAAAATTCTTCTTCAAAAAACAAAATGATGTGTAAAAATTAGAGCCTATATTTTCCGTTGAATTCGAACTTCTTTTCTTAATTCTTCTAACTCATCATTGTTTAGATACATATCTGACCGAAATTCTGCCATAATCATTAGTTTTGGCATATTCGGGTCATCTTTTGAAGGTTTGGTTAGATAAATAAATGCATCGAATCCAAAATTTCAGCTAAAACTTATGAAACAAGAAAAAAATGTCCTGAATATTAAAATAAAGTCGATGAATTTTTTTTTTTTCATCTCTGGTACAATCAAGAAAAAGGGTATCTAATGATAAAACCTAATAATTTTTTTTAAAAAAAGTACAAATGCTTACACTTACACAGGTTAGGTTAAAAAAAAAAAAAAAAAGATAAGGTATATGCTCAGCCTAGTAAGTAATCACCTTGTTACACAAGATGGCTTTTGATGTATATATATTTACAGCTTATATTAGTTATTACGCTTCATTAATCTATACTCTTTTCAATCTCTGATGCAGAGGCGAATTTATCCCGTCTTTCACCCTCTGCTGTAGCTGAGTTTCCGAGTAAATCGTTGGAGAATTAGGAGTTCCGAAACTACGTTTATGGTTGTGGTGGTGTAACCGGTGTTTTTGTTGGTGATGACCATTTTCTTTCTTCACTTTCTTCTTTCCTTCACTCTCCTTTTCGCTTTCTTTCTTCAAATCAGTTTCAACTGGAACCGTGTACACAAACGTCCCAATTGAAGTGTCATTGTAATCCTTGAGAGGCTCCAGGGTTTTTACAATGTCGCTCATATTTGGTCTGTTCTTAGGCCTATGACTCAGGCAATGATAAGCCAATGCTGCAGCTTGCTGAGCCCCTTCCTCGGAGTACATGCCTTCAAGCCTAGGATCCATTATCCGGCTGAGCTTCCGGGAATCTTTTAACATTGGCCTCGCCCAATCTGCCAAGTTCTGTTCCCTGGAAGGACGGGTTTTGTCCACTGATCTTCTGCCTGTAAGAAGCTCCAAGAGTACTACTCCAAAGCTATACACATCACTTGCTGCTGTCAAGTGACCTGCAGGGAGACAATTTGACATGTTTTGGCAAATGGTCACTCGTTTGTTTAGGATAATAGCAATCAATTTAAGTTTTTGTTTTTATGTGAAATTTGACTTCAATACGTAATTTTTCTAGTCGATGGAAGCAGTTAAAATGGCTAAGAACAACCCACGTTGTTGATTGTGGTAAAGATTGCGGCTAACCAACCGTGGAGATCGCCTTAATAAATCTTGCTTAAATTAGCAAGCGATGATATGAATCTTTACCTGTCATGATATACTCAGGGGCAGCATAGCCTTGTGTCCCCATAACTCTCGTCGAAACATGCGTATCATCTCCCTCTGGACCATCTTTTGCGAGCCCGAAATCGGAGAGTTTAGCAGTGTAATCCTGCAGTAAGCAAATTAAAAGCGATTTATTCACTTGTTGAAAGAAAATGAAGCAAAGGATCCCGTAAATGTGGGCAAAGCTAGGTAAACTAGATGCTTACAGAGTCTAGCAGGATGTTCGAGGCTTTAAAATCCCTGTAGATTACTGGTTTTTCTGCCTCGTGGAGAAAGGCAAGGCCTTTTGCAGCTCCAAGGGCAATTTTCATCCTTGCAGACCATGGAAGCGACACGGAATATCCTGCGGCCGGGAAAGTAAAAGAATGAGGACTCTTGTATATATGATTAAGATGACATTTTATGGTAAATTTACATTTTAAATATGTGGCATTTACCAAATTTTAAATCTAAAGCGTCTTAAAATGAGATTAATAGTTGCCGATCAAAGGTTAGTAAAAACTCTATCAGAAAAGTGAAAACCCCATTATGTTCAAAAAATTACAACAAAAAAAAAAAAAAAAAGTTTGTGAGCGTGAGATTTATACGGTATTTAGGTAATAGCATTATTATGTTCAAATATTACATCATTAATTAGAAGGTTACATATTGCAACGACTAATGAATCAACGAAAAGGTAAGCTACCAACCACGAATAGGGTAACGTGAGCTTATAATTCCAGGTTGAACTTTTCTATCTACAGAGAGCAGGTCTCGTACTCATCATGATTATACGGCACATTAATTATTTGCACAATTTCAAGAGGCAACAGTGTCAACATCCCTCACAGGAAATGGTAAAACTAGCAGACAATTATTAATTAAAGAAAATAGCCGTTTCGATCAACTGGAAACTATTACATGTGTGTCTTATAATTAATTGGTTGACGATGGATATCCTAGAGATTACATCCAAACTCTCCCGAAATTTCATTATCAGCAGACCTATTTAAAAAATCTCTTCCGCTAGTTGTTCTTAGTAAGACATTAACAGCTGTCCCAAGTTCTACATGTCTGACAGTGGATACAGCTTACCTACCATGCTGAAGCAACAAAGAAAATTGAGCACCATGGAAAAAAATACTATGTGCGGAAGACGAATCGCTAGCTACTGATATATATATTTCAAACAATGATAAAGCGGAGACAAGACGTACTTCTAAACAGCTGATTCTCCAGGCTGCCTCGTGGCATGTATTCATAGACTAAAAGTCGGTGTTCCTCCTCGCAGCAGTATCCGATCAACTTCACCAAATTTGGATGCCTCAATTGCCCCAGAAATATCACTTCAGTCTGTTATGTTAAGAAAGGAAATTAAAGTTGGTCAATCATTCAATCTGACAAGAAATCTTCATGCACAAAAGTTGAATATCAAAAAATTCTTCGACACTAACTTCAAGAACACTGCGAACCCTTGGGCATACTAACTACCAAGCAGGACGAGGCTATCAACCACCGGACTGCATGTCAAGCCAGTGAGGGAAATAATTAAGTTTGGTAGGTTCGTACATACCAGCCATTCCTTGTGACCTTGGGAGCCGTCCAGATCAAGGAGCTTGACAGCCACTGGCTGAGCCTTCAGCCCGGGTCTAAGCTTGTCGTCAATGAACCCTTTATGAACTGGTCCAAATCCTCCCTCACCAAGAAAGTTACAAGACGAGAAGCTCTGAGTGATCACCTTCAGCTCCTGAAGAGTAAATATGTGAATGTTGGAGCCGGCTAAAGAGATAGAGAGGTCCTCTGAAATGGTTGAAGAACTAAAATCCGACATCGAAAGCCTGTGGAATGAAGTTTGCTTGGCCACAACTTTCTTCTTTTTCGGTTTAGGGTTCTCAATCTTGTAACATCCCAGAACAAAACATTGCCACGAAACCTTCTGGACTGTCATCTCGTGATAAAAGTATATGCTTTCTGCGTGTATGGAAATACTTTGTTGTTTCTCCTCTTCTGCACCCAAATGCCTCGAAAAGCCTTCGTTTATATATCAGGTTGAGAGAATTGTAGAACAAGGAAAGAATGTGGCGATGACAGGAATTATGCAATGGGGTTTGGAAAACTTCTTCTATGGAAAGCCGTGGCCTAATATTCAAATGTGCCAATTATTCTCTCTCCTGGCTCTTGTCTCCGCAGGACATGATAGTATGATACAGATAAGAGGTTCACAACCCCTTTATAAGGCCTGGCTTTATGCTGATTTTCTTTTTTTTTTTTTTAACCATTTACTATTAATTTCTCTTTCGTGGACAAATACTTTTTGTGTGTATATATGGGCGTATATAGTAGTTCGTTTTGTAATGTGATCCTCCATCAATAGTTGATGTAGCTACTATTAAAGAATTTGGTGTACAAAATGAAAAGCAAAAGAGCACCACGAAGTCTACGAATTCGGTTGAGTGAGAAAAGACTTGGCTGCCCCCTCTTTGACTTAGTTCTTTGGTGGGAGCCTCAGTTTCACACCCTTCTAAACATATTGTTCCATTCGGTGGCGATGATGGAAAAGCGGTTTTCGAAATTGTTTTGACTCAGTTTTGTAATAAATTATTATTTTTTTTTTAAAAAAAATGACAAAGAAGAATTTTAATATTTGGTGTGGAAATTCCATCGTGGTATCTAGCTAAGCTAAGGGAGATTTCTCCTACGTGTTTTCCCTGACGCGGGGATCTTTGAATACTCACGTCCTCGATCATTATTATTATCTACTGGTATTCGCAAGTCTCACGTAAACATGAGCATCAAGTGAAAATTAAGAAATGAAAATTGTAGAGAGCTGATGGATGGATCGAGATTTGAGATCAACATAGCATTTTTTTTTAATTTATTTATAAAAGTCTTTGTCATTGTTAATAGTAGTAATTTTGATCCTTCCTTTGACAGCTTTGTATTGTTTGGCAGCCATCACTGCAAATGAGCATTGAGTTGGCCCAGCACTGTTATGTGCTATAGAAAACACGTTGTTAATCCAGTGTTTTTTTTTTTGCTTTTACGCTAAAATCATCAACAGCGATTCTTCACTTATTCTTTTTTGATGACTCGAATTCGCGTGTTATCAATTAGGCTGTTTTGTTATCTGTCAATTCAGTTTAGGTGTTCCTAATTTAAAATTGTTTAATGCTGCTTAAGGTCCTAATTGGGTTTTAGAATTAAGCGGAATAAAATTTTTCATAAATTATCCATTTGTGTTTCGTTTTCAAGAAAAATTAATGAAAAGCCAAAGAAGATATTTTGTCCTCCTTTTTCATGTAGATTATAGTCTGCTTCCTTTTTTTTTTTCTTCTACCAAATATAGGATTCAAAAACGGCTGAGAAATTAGTGGGAAGGAAAGAAAAATGTTGCGTACGAGGTCGGAGAGGGAGAGAGAGAGAAGAGGGGTGAGGGAGATTGAGATTCCATAACACACGCCTTATTTTGAAAAGGACACGCTTTTAAACCAATGATTTGGTCATAGCCTCGTAAGTCGTGGGTAATTAAGAAAACAATCAATGATGAACAAGAACAACAACATTTGGAGGAATTTGTAAGAACTAAGAAGAAGAAGAAGAAGATGGTAGGTTAGCCAGCACACTTGCACATTTGTCTTTGTTCTAGAAACTACGCTCATTATTATTTAGAGAAAAAAAAAAACAACCATTAAAAAGAATAATAGTTGTATATAACATCAGAGTCCACAGTATTCATCTGCGAAAATATGGAACATTTCCGGCTGACCAAATACGTATATATATACATATACGTATTTAGATGGGGCCTGCAGGAAGCGGTAGGTAAAGCATCACCCCCAGCATGATGTTCCCGCTAAAACCATGGAAGTCTGGATAACTAATTCTAGGACAATTATTAATTAACCCATTGCATGGAGCCGCATACCATTGGCAAGAATAGAAAGACATGATGGAATTTTCCTTCATTCTATCAGCTTCGAAAGATTTAGAAATTGGGGGATTCCATGGCGGTAGGTAGATGGGACCCGGCCATATTTTTCTTGCCATCAACAGCATGCAGGAAAGTCAATTCCATAGGATTCCAACTTTAATTGGTTAACGGAGTCAAGCTGGATAAAATTCCCAAAGCGTCTCGCGTAAATCCAACAAAGTCGATTTGGATTGCGATTTTCTGAAGGTTTTTCTTAGCACGAGGAGAATTTTATTTTTTTTAATACGTGAATTCGAATTTTAGGCTATTAGCAGAAATATGCCATTTTATAAATATTGACACTTTTTTCTTTAATTTTCAAGAGAATAAAACACTACTAATACTAATACTGGAAGGGTAAGCAATGCAAATTAGTAGTATTAATCTCAATATGCTAAAAAGCATGACGGCTATGTTTTGTCCAGGTCGTTTTTAACATTAGACACATGAAATTTGAGGACCGGCGGGCGCGTTGTTGTGATTTGAACTGTTTTCTTTTTATTTTCATATGCCAGGGAATTAAAGATTACAACAATTTTATCACCAAAAAAAAAATTTACAACAATTTCACAATCGTACCAAATTAGGTCGACTGCCTTCATTACTCATGTAGAGAAATAAAATGTAGGCCCTATTTGATAAATCAATTCAGCATTTAATTTAATGGCTTCAGATTTTAACATATTCAGACCCTTTGATAATAAAAAATTGAACATCTGAATTAATTAAGTGGTACTGAATTTTTTAGGCAAAACTTGTTCCCAAAGTCAGGTGATAAGCTATTCACTCATCATTGAATGTGATACGCACTCAAATGTATTATATTTAATATTTAACAATTCAATAGCTTGATGGATTCAGATTTCAGTTTTTTAATTTTAATTTTATCAAACGCACCCATAGTCTATTATACATCTTAGCTAGATACAATACTATTTGTCAATGGCGAAGGCACGTTCAATTGAGGGTAGGCAATTACCCTCCCTCAACTTTGAAGAATTTTCAGAATTAGCTCGAAAAAATATAAAATTTTTAAACTTGTTCTATAATCGCATCCTCTAAAATTTCTGATATGCTTCTTCACTTTACCCACCTAAGTTCTTGAAATCTACAATTATCACTTAGTTTATTAATGATGGCATGTGTGAAATGAAGCCAAGTACTAGCTAGTTGAAAATTTAGGAAAAAAGGGAATTTCAAAAGTTTTGATACGTAAAAAAAAAAAAAATTTGTTGTCTACTGTCATAAAAAAATTATCATCTAGTTGTTTTTTTTTTTTTTTTTGCTGGTTATTAGAGTTTTTTAACAAAAAATTTTGCCTTAATCATAGTAATTGCCTCCCTAATTAACCACGAGTCCTAACTTTGCAGTGCTATCTACGGACCTAGTATTTTATTCCAGGATTGCAAATCTTTGGAAGAATTAGTAGAGAAGGCAGTCAGCATGTCATTAGCAATAAGTTTCAGGTTTTAGTTTCGTTTCAAACTTTGTTATATGCCATATTAGCGTCTAATTCATGGAGAGCCAAAAGAAAAAGAAGACTTCTCAGCAAGATATTCCAGTTCTATAAAAAAAAAAATTTAATATTGTATACATATATATATATTTTTTTGGGTGCTCATTCCTGAGGACTCTGGAAAATGCATGAAATCTTCAAAGCATATCCTTTTAAGGGTGAAATTAAGAAGCCACACAGGCCGAAGCTCGCCACAGGATGTAGGCATTGATGTCAAAAGAGCCAGTTGACTAATCCTATTCATATAATATAATAAATAATGACTTGCAAAAAATAGCCACTGCTCATCACATGAACTATCAATTTAGTGCATAAAAGAAATAATAAATATCGCAACTGCTTTTCCAGAAGTTGGGGGGGGGGGGGGGTAAATAAAATTCTCTCTCCCCTGTTGGATCAGTCATCACCTGCAGATTATAAAATTCCAGAAGTGAATGGGCTTTCGGAACTTTCCACACCAATCTTTAACTAATTCTTTATCTAACGCTTGACACTGTAATTAGAATGTGGGTAGAAGTCTAATTTGCAGGAGCGAGAAGGGTCGAAGGTCAAGAATTCGAGATGAACAAATTAAATGAAACAACAACTACCTTACCTTTCGAAGTGGAGTTTTACCGAACCCCAGGAAAATCTTGAAACCCTTTTTTTTTTTAAAATTTTATAATACCATGTTGACTGCAATTAGCTTCCTTTTAATTTGAAAACTATCATCATAAGTAACCTCCCCGTTTTTTCCAAAATTTTATCCAGTTTGTAATTAATACCATCGTCTTCGTCCACACAGCTGCCGTACATAATAAGAAAAGGATGAATCTAAAATCAAACTAAACCAAACAATTCACTGGTGATAGTTTTCCTTTTTTGTTCTGCTTCATCTTTCATTATTTTCAACTCGGATTTGTTGGACCATCATGTCTTAGCTAATTAAACCTTCTTCCGAACTGCCATTCCAACTTTCTAAGCAACAAAATAAAAAACATGCATGCATTAAATTGAAGAGACGCTGCCACAATTAATTGTGTCACAGTCGCCTTTTCTTTCTAAATTTTTATTTTAATTAGGAAGAGGTGAGATTTAATAAACGAAAAGAGAACAGGAAATTAAATTTTAGAATCACTAGATCAAAATTTTCTCGAATTATCTCTACAATTCAGAATCGCTAGATCAAAATTTTCTCGAGTCGTCACTAATGCCTTGCAGGTGACAAAGGAAGAAATAATCATGCTACGAAATTATCAATATGTAGTTCGAACTGTCCGTCCAAATCACCGATCCGAGCAACTAACAAGACAATTTGGGATTTTAGTGCATGTGATAAAATTAAATAATGTGTGGGTTCTGCTCAACCACCGAAGACCATAAAAGCATGAATGGAGGACAGCGGACAGACACGGCTTCCCCAATTCTATATATTCATTTATATCCTTCAAACCTCGAGAGGGGGGCAAATGACAATTGACAACAATTTAAAAATCACGGCCAATTCATATACTACGTTTTGTTTGCAGTATTAGCAGTGCTGTCTCAACTAACTTACGAATACTTTGAATAATCAAATTAATAACAACGCTATGCCGTAGAACCAACCAGTGGATTGAATCACGACATGATTTCCTCGTAAGGGGTACAAATAATTTGTCAATTCTGCTGTGCATCTCCATGTAGGCATGTGGGTATGAATACATGAGCACTTTCGCACGC